CCTACGCCCGAGATGGGTCGATTGTTGTGGTCTGCGGACTTTCGGTTGAGTGTGGAACTCAAGGTTGTGTCGTCCGGCCACTTGCCCCGGTTTCCAGTTTCCCCGAATGGACGGTGCCAAGCCTTTTCCAGGAAGGAGTAAGTGAATTAACCGCTCGAGGCCGTGGAACTCTGTCGAGACGGTGAGGGGAAGTCGTCCTGGTGCTGGTGCTGGTGCTGCAGACTGCAGCAGCTACTGCTCATGGGATGAAATGAGAGCTGCAAAGCCAAGCCAAGTAAGCCGAGCCGGGTAGGATGAGGAGCCTGGGGCAGAGGTCCGCAATTAAGAGGCCGCCAGCTGCAGCTATCCCATGCTTGTTGTTCGTTCTGCAGAGTCGTGCAGACACCCAACTCAACCTCACATGCTCGTCAGGTAAGTAGGTATATGAGAGGCAGGGCCAGCAACCACAGAAAGGCTTGGCAGAAATGGGTGTGAAGGGCAGAGAGTGTGAGAGAGAGAGAGAGAGAGCCCTGACCTCCAAGGCCGTTGATGGTTGGGCAGCTTTGCAACTAACATGGCTGCTGTAGCTAGGAGAGAACCAAAGTGATACCCGGCGCGTTTGGTTGAGCTAGTCTGCAGGTCACCTGGAGACTGGATCAAGCAGACGAGTATCGAATCAAGTCTTAGTGTGAGCCAATGAGGAAAGCCGAGAGTTGCGCCAGTCCCCAGAGAAGAGGCACAGAAACGGGCGCGGCGACAGCATCGGAGAGACGAGTCGAATTGAGTTATTGCAGGTACTATGTGAGTAGTCAATGAGGGGGCTGAAAGACATGGATTGGAAATGCCTCATAGCGGAAAGACAAAAGGCAGGAGTGGAGTGTTAAGTGTTGTGTGTTGTGGTCGCGTTGTCCAAGTGGTGGCAGGATCATGTCTGTACGAACAAGTAGGTACTATTGTCTGCCTGCCTGCTTGCGTGTGTCTCTGTTCACAAGTGAAGCCATAAGACGGCAGCGAGGAACCGGGGGAAGGGGGGCAGAATGTACCGCCTTAGCGAGAGCAAGATGGCCCATGGGCAATAAGATGATGCGAGCGTACCGGCAAGTTGGAACGGGTACTGGCAGGTTCGTCTTGTGTTGACATGTCTCTGACTGCTCGTGTCTGCCGCATGTCCGACTAGAGTACTGGCAGAGTGCGGTGGCACCACTGCATGCACCAGGCGAAAGGGGATGGCTCATGGCGCATGGGCCGCAACAACCATGTGGGCTCACGGAGGTGATTTGCGGAGAGGTACGGAGACATCTTTGACGACTTTATTAGCACGGATAAGAGGCACCAAACCGAGGCTCTTGGAGGCTTGGAGGCAGGGCGTCGGTGTTGCAGACCAATCCCATGGATTGTTCAGGTAAGTCTGCAGACGGCAAGGCCTGGGGGCGCTTCAACTGGGTCTCACCTGAGTGTTTTGAACTGCAACCCCAAGTGAAGTGTATCTGGGGATGACAAAACAAGAGGGTTGAGGCTGGTTAGACTTATGGAACACTGGCATGGAGTTGCAGGGTGCCAGAGCCTTGAGGGTGGGAGTTGCGAATGTCGGCGGCGAGGAAGCGGAGCGTTAATGGCGAGGAATGGGGAAGACAGTTGATAGCGAGCCAATGGTGTGGACGAAGAAGAATGGGGAGACAATGAGCTCATTGCTGAGAATGAGATTATGAGATGGAGGATGAGAAGGCAAGGAGTGGGTGCCAAGAAACGTTACACAAGTGCATGGGGGCTCCATGGTTTGTGTGGTTGCGCAGTTCAAGACAAACCCGAAAGCCTCCTACCTTAGTCTCAAGCCTGAGAGTCACACGACCTGGGGTGATGGAGGATGGGAGAAGGAAGGGCGGCGTGTTGTTGAGACGGCAAGGACTACGCTGCGTGCAGCAGCGGCTAGCAAGTAGTTAAGCACAAACGGCCAACGACTTCCCAGCGAGTAGGAGGGAGATTTGGAGATGCGAGAGGGTTCAGGGTACGAACGGTGCAGTCGGGGAGGCAAGTAGCGAAAGGGAAAAGCCGAGATTCAATGTGGTCTGGTTGGGAGGCTCCACATGATTGGAGAAGCGGCGGTTTCCATTTCCCAATTTCGAGATCTGAATGTTGTGGTCATTGTCATCAGTACGAATGGTCATGATCTTCCGTCTCTCACATCTCTGTAATATGAGGTAACTACGTATTTAAAGTACAAGGCAAGTGAAAGGCAAGAACAGACAAGGGGGACATCTTTAGAGCCAGACCGGACTAAATACGCAGAGAAGCCAAGACTGTAAACGAGAGGAATTAATACTGCGTACTGCGGTAGATGAGTAAGAAAGGACGGGATAAACAATGAAGAGAAACATGCCAACAAGGCCATAGCATTGTACAAGGGGTAAAGTTTAGAAAAATAAAAATAAAAAGGAAGGGGAGACTTTCTCGCTCTGGGGCCGATGAAGAATGGAGAACAACGGAATACCTACTATGAGGTACAAAGGCAGAGGATAGAACGGAGAACGGTGCGGTACTACTTGCCGGCTTGGTATTTCCTGGGCCTTGCTTACTTTGGTCTGCAAGTCCTCATCCCGCGCCTGCAAACGTCATCGGCTTGCGCAGGCACTGTGCGGGGGAAGCATGCGGCTAATATCTTTTGACAGTACGGCGCTTGTCGCGATACTGGGCGTCTGCAGGAAAGAGGACCTGCCTTTAACACAGAAAGCCACGTACTCGAGTACCTACGTAGTGCCTTTCTTACTCTTTCCCCGTACCTACCTTAGATTCTTTGCACTGCAGACGTACCTAGAGACGTTCTTCTTCTCTTCACCTCTTTTTTTTTTTCCGTCGCCATTTCTCATTTCCCCTTCTCGACTTTTTACCTCACACAAACTCTGAAGTACCGAAATAAGCCGAGCTGAGGGGCGAGAAATGGAGAGAGAAAAATCACAAAACAGAAAGCAATACAAGAAAAAAAAAGACAATAGGCCAACAGTACAAAAATTTGCCGGCCAATCGCTCTCACCAATTGCCCATGCATTCAGAACCAACGAAACACACACGGAACCTTCTCTCTGTCTCTCCCTCTCACACAAATCCCATCAAGCTTCTTCTGCGAATCCTGTCACACGCCATGAGGTCGTCCAAGACCTTCCAAGACCTGCACACAGTCCACACGACGGCCCTTGTCCACCCTGTACAGACCCCGTCTTGGCCTTCGACTCTAAGGCTCTAACCCTGCGAAGCGAACCCCTCCAAAGTGCACCAACAGGGCTCAGAAAGATGCTGTGTGGGTGCTCACTCGCCGATGCCCCTCCGGCTTTGGCCCGCAGTCGCATCTTGAATCTCACATTCCCTCGCGCCAGGACGCAGCCAGCCATGCCCTGTCCACTGCCGTTCGCAAAGCCGCTTTTCTCTTTGCAGATGTCGTCTTGGCGGGTCCCGATTCGACCACACAAGGGCTGAACTTCCTGCACGGCACCGCCCTGCCTTCCATGTCATCGATCAAACCGCACAGCAAAATCCGGGAAGCTTGACTTTCCATGCCCTTTGACACATGTGCCCCTACACTACGGATTCGCGCTACGCACTACACACAACATCCCAGACAATGTGGTCATTGAGTCGCGACGGCCGCTAAGCCGGCGTCCACGGCAGACGGCTCCTCCAGCTGTTGACCTTACCTCGCAAGCCCGCACCAAGGTACGCACGCACGCCAGGGACAATTATGCCAACTGGCACGGCATCTTTGCGCTTGCCTTCTCTTCAATCGGAAATTGATAAGCTGCCTCGCTGGCAATGCCGCCCTCGAGCCAGGCGAAGGTCCTGCTTGGAGGAATGATCGGTGCCTTTCTACGTAATGACACGACGACCATCGCCACAAGCCGACTCCATCCGCTGCAGCAAGCTCCTGGCAGCTGGCAGGGGCCGTAGGGCTTCGTCCAATTTTGGTTCAAAGTACGGAGTATCTAAGTTTTGCAGCGCTGTCAGCAGACACTGTTGCTTATGTCAGGCTCTTCTCTCGCAAGCTGCGGATTATCGAAGACGGTCACCACCGCAGGCCGCGGGTCTTTGCTACGAGGTGGCCGCGGGCAATGAGTGAGCGTCAGACGCGGGCGTTCCGCTGTGTCTAATACAAAGCACCTCACGTATTCCGTACCTGAGCCTGGCCAATGCACAACCACAATCGCACTCTGGAGATGGCCGAGATGGTTATTGAATTCGAAGACGACGTACCGGAGCCAGCCAAGCAACGTCTTGACCACAAGGCGGATACCAATACACAAGACTGACAAACCCAAGAGTAATAAATCGTTCAGCCTAGGTAAAACGGGCATGTTTGTTAGTGAAGGACAAGTCACCCCTTGACCGGCGCGTCCCTGGTCTGCACCTTGCCCCAGACCAAAAATGCATACTCTGGTTCTCCATTCATAGGCTTTCCGGCAGCCGAATGGTCCAGTCGGCGGACTGATGTTGCGGGCAGAAGCCCCTGTCACCCCGTCACCCCGTTCCGTGGCTCAACTAGTCGATTTGCGCACCAAAGACGAGACACTGTGGACGGAGCTCGACTTGGCCAGAGAGGCAGACATGGCAGAGAGACCCTCAGGGCTGCGCGTCTTGCATGTCATTTACCTGATCCCGCCATTTCCATCGGTCATGAACGGAAGCGCCGTTCCTGAGGGATCCTCATCGGAAGCCACGTCAAGGATTCCGAAGTCTCGTTGAACCTTGTAGGTAGACAAAGGTCTTGGGTTCTTGCAAGTTGTGCCTCTCGTACCCTAACCTGACCTAACCTTATCTTGGTGTCTCTGCCCACGCCTGGTCCACTCATCAGAGACCCCGTCCGATGCAGCTACGTTATTGTTACTGCATCTGTCGCCTGCCTGCTTCCCGCTCTGTATCCGCACTGCGCATGGCGGTGGTGGTTGTGGTGGGTTTCCCACCCGAGTGACAGATGGACGGACTTTTTTCTCTCTCTGTTATTATGGAGATGGACTAACCAACACTGGCTGCCATTGATGTATCCGTACCTGTTTCTAGTGTTAGTCTGGGTAAGTAGCTATTTGGTTGTCAGCAACCCATTTTGTATCTTTGTCTCTTGCCTCGGTACATATTTGAGCGTTTTCTTTCGCATCAAAGACAGACTCTGGCTCAACAACTCAGCCCTGCCCCTGTTCACTGCCCCGGTCACCCAAACTGAGGGATCGGGTAGTCTCCGTCGAAATGGGAAACGAATACGCCACATTCTAGAAAAAAAGAGGGAAAAAAAGAACCGAAATGATAAACCTACCAGACACTCACATTTTGCGAGCACACTTTGCGAGTGGGAAAAGTTTTTCTGTCATGCCCTTGATATCACTCACTTGATTATTAGTAGCCCCTTGATCCATCGGAGGCTAGACCAAATCGTAACAGCAACGGCCGGGTGGCCAAGGTGCCGTTCGGAGCAAAATTGGGAAACTTGACAGACTAGTTGGAATCCCTCCAAACTGTTACAGTAATAAGTAGCAAAAAGGTGACAAGAAAGGCGACTGATGGGGATTGCCGACTGCCGCTTACAAGCGCGTTCAGGAGGCATCTCTCCACACGAATGGCGAACAAACCACCTTGAAGCCAAAAGCAATTCACGCGCCACCTTTGCAGTCATCTTCCACCAACTTTACCACAATCAGGGCCGAACCAAGGAGACAACCTGGGAGACGAAGGTCCTTGTCTATGTGCGAGGCAACTGCCAACTTGTACAGTGGGCTGGCGCAGTTCTTGGCCAAGGCAATTCGAAAGTGCTAGAGCCTAGGCCGTCCGTACAGTTGTCGCAATTCGGACCTTCGCACTCTCCTTTCCATTTGCTCTTGGTAATCCATAGTACCAGTGTACCACAGTTGACAGGCGGGCTACAAGTGACATTAAGGACTGGACTGGATTACCAAAGAGGTGTGTAATTTCGGCCTTGTTCCATCGAGGACCACACACGGCAGTCAGTCACACCGACCACGAGTCCGCGACTGGTCTGGTGCCGAGCAGTAGTAAATGGAAGCAGGCCAGACTTTCCTGCCACCCTTTTCACGACGGGGAGGCAGAGCAGGCAAGCCGCGAAGAAAGGAAAAGGGCAGTCAAGTCGTGGGGGGATTTTGCTGACAGATCAAAGTTCGGTTTAGGCGGTGACTGCTGACCAGCACAGCAACAGCAATAACAACGAGAACAAGCCTTTTTTCAGCCCTCCTCCCTGGAACAGCTTATTGCTCCTCTAAGTCGTGTTGAACACGGTACCTTGCTCGTCGTACAGTCGTGCTGAGTAGCTTTGTATCGGTACATCTTTTACGGCGTAGGAACCTGGAAGCTCTCGACCGGCCCCGACACACTCACTTCGCTTACACCGCCCACCCGCCGCCCGCGGCCTGTTGTGTTGGTTTTTTTCCCCTCAGCAAAAGCGACACCACCCACTCGACGGCGACGCAAAGCAAAGCAGCAATAATAACCTAGCAGTACTTGTCAATCACCCCGATTACCTGCTTGGAGCTAACAGCATTGCCAGTACCTAGAGCGGTACCAGTACCAGTACCAGTACCAGCGCAGTGGAGGGAGTGGAGGATCCCAGGTCTCGAGTCTCCAGTTCTCAAAAGTCTCCATTCTGCTGCTTCCCGCCCATCTGCTTTCTGCAGGCCGTGGCTAGTACCTTCCTTACCTTAGCTTTCACAGCTTCAGTAAGGTCAGGTACCTTAGCTCACGGTATCCGTACGAAGTAGACTTCACTTCCCAGCTCACTCATCTCACCTCACCTCTCAACTCTCACCTCCGGCCCTGGGTAGTCGTGGTCCTCGCCAGTCCAGTCCACTCGGAGCCCGTCTGCATTCTGCCCTGAGGGCTCAAATTCCTCAACTGTACCGAGCTGCAGGGCAATCCAATCTTTCCCTCGTTAGGCCCCACCTTGACCCTACTTTACCTCAAAAGACGCTACACATCCCACGCTACCTTGCTCTACTTACACCAGGCCACCACCTACGCAGTATCTACTAACACCACATGCCCGGCTGTCGCAACCTGCCTGTCCCGCTGTATTTTTTTGCTCTCCCCTCCACTCCCCCTTGACTTCCACTTCTTCCCCCCTCTCACCTCCGTCCCCTCCCAATTTCTTTAGTATTATTGACTGCTCGCTCGCCCGCCGCCCGCCCGCCTACGCGTTGTCTGCCACCAGACCGCTACCCGCCGCCGCTGTCGCCTGCTGGGGCCAGACTTTTTTTTCTTTCGCTTTCTCGCTCCGACCGCCTCTGCTCAGGTTTCCATTCCTGTAGTCCCTCTCTCTCTCACACACACACACACCTACATAATCCTCTAATCCCTACGCCCATCCCATCTTCTTCGTCTTATTACCTTCCCTTCCGACTTCTTCTCTTTAAAACTTTGAATACCACCTACAGCACCCCCCCCCCCCCTTCACTCCCACCTTTCACCACGGGGACAAAATTAGAAAGAAAAGGGGGTTGAAACAGGTCTGCTATTTTGTCCGCCCTGCGAGTCACGTCTACTTGGGCCCGAGCCCTCCCACTGCGCCGAGGCGTTCTTTGCGCCACAGCGAGCCCTTTTTTCCCTTGTCAGACCCGAGCCTTGACACTCGACGGCACTCCCGAGTCTTACTCGGCCCAACTCGACTCGACTCGACCAGACCAGACAGGCCAAAGACTTACTTGAGTCGCAGACTTTACCCCCACCACCACTACCAGCCAATTCTGCATAACCTGCCGCTGCTGCCCCTCCAGCAGCCCGCCCTGCTGTGCACAGCTGTTCATTCTTGCCAGCTGCACTGCACCCACGCTTCCCTTGCGGCTGACACCCATCTGCGGCCTACCTGCGTCACCGATAGCCGGAACCAAGAGAGACAACAGCCACACAAGGGGAAAAGAAAAAGAAGGACAGACCAAGAAAGAGGCGATAGGTCATCCGCCGTCGGTTCGCTCGCTTTCGCGTATATACCGCCTCCGTCCCGTCTACCCTTTCTCTCTACCACCAGGGCCCCTCCGAACGAACCTTCACCCACCAAACAAACCTGCTGCGCGCTCATGCCTTCCGCATCCCCCGCTATGGCGAGCCCAACAACCGCCTCGGCGGCCAGTTCCAAACCTTCCTCAGTCAAGTCTGACGGCAAAAAATCGCCGCGTTTGACCCCGCAAAATGGCCAGTCCCTCACCAACGGCAATTCGTCCCACGAGGCCCTGCCGAAACCTGCCGAGAAACCCTCCATGAAGGACAAGCTCACGCGCATGTTCTCGACCAAAGACGTCAGCCGAAACGCTATTGAGGTCCCCCATCGACCCCGCGGCTCCAGCTTTAATGGCAGCGACAAGCCCCAACCTCCCAGCAGAAAACCCTCTACCACCACCGCAGAGAAAGTCCCCGAGAAACCAGCCAGCAAACCCGCAAAACCTCCCGTAAAAGACCTTCATCGATTCATGGCGAGCCCGGACTTGCAAGGTGGCCACGAGCACCACCTCAAGTCAAGTCGCAGGCAGGAGAAGCTCTCCGACATGTGGCGTACCCTCATCGGCAAGAAGCAAGAGCACGCCGAAAACGACCTGTCGCTCGTCTCTAACTGGGTCGACACGCTCAAGGCCGAGAAGGAGGATATGGCTGGTGACAGGAAGAACGGCCCAAACGCAACGACCACTCTTGTAGAAAAGTACGGAAAATGTCAGGAGGTTGTAGGCCGTGGTGCCTTTGGAATCGTCAGGATATCCCACAAGAAGGTCGAGAATGGAGTAGAAAGACTTTTCGCCGTCAAGGAATTCCGCCGTCGCCCAGAGGAGACAGAGAAGAAGTACAGCAAGCGACTGACTGCCGAATTTTGCATTTCCTCGTCGTTGCGTCACCCCAACGTTATCCACACTCTGGATTTGCTCAAGGACGCCAAGGGAGATTACTGCGAAGTCATGGAGTTCTGCGCCGGTGGTGATTTATACACTCTCGTGCTCTCAGCCGGCAAGTTGGAGGTTCAGGAGGCGGATTGCTACTTCAAGCAGATGATGCGTGGCGTGGAGTACCTCCACGAGATGGGTGTTGCCCACCGTGATCTGAAGCCTGAGAACCTGCTGCTCACTACTCGTGGTGGCTTGAAGATCACAGACTTTGGCAACGGCGAGTGCTTCAGAATGGCCTGGGAGACGGATCCTCACATGGTGTCCGGCCTCTGTGGCTCTGCTCCCTACATTGCGCCCGAGGAATACACAGACAAGGAATTCGACGCCCGCGCTGTCGATGTCTGGGCCTGTGGTGTCATTTACATGGCCATGCGTACCGGTCGCCACCTTTGGCGCGTTGCCCGCAAAGACGAGGACGAATTCTATGCTAGATACCTGGAAGGTCGCCGCGATGAGGAGGGCTACGGACCGATTGAGTCCTTGCACAGAGTGAGTCTATCGGATTTGCTTATAGTATCGTCCAGAAACTAACAGTCTTTAGGCGCGCTGTAGGAACGTGATATATTCCATTTTGGATCCTAATCCCACCCGTCGCATTACTGCGTCCCAGGTTCTCAAGTCAGAGTGGGGACGCGAGATCAAGCTCTGCAAGGCTGGTGAAGAGGGCCTTTGAATAACGACTTCGTCTTGGAACTACTTTGGTGGACAGCTTCTTTATTGTCAACAAGACTTTCAACAATTCATTTCAACGGCGGAACAGCAATGACCGGAACTTTCCAACCCGGCACAATGATAGAACAATGCGTCTGCACAGACAGCGTGCGTCAACCGGCGGTCTTTCGACTCCCTCTTTCAGCCTGCTTCGATTCACACCCTTTTACACTTGTTTACCTGACGATTTTACGACACCCCCATGCGACCCTGTTATTGCGAGCATCGGCGTTTGGCGTTTTACCCTCCCATGCTGCTTACACCACAACAACCTACTGTTCAACGTACATATGACACCCCCGTCTTTGGAACGGGGCACCGGCAGAATTACGCTACAGAGCCAGGTCCACTACATCTCTGGGTTGACTTGGCCAGCAGTCCTCAAGCCCCCATGGAACGAAGCTATAATGAGCGACGGATTTAAGATGCGCAAGGGCACTCACGACCTGGAAACGGAAGATGGACTTGGTTGAGCCTCAGGGGAAGAGGCTCGGTGGGATGGTTGAGAACCAGGAGGAATCGGTAAGGACCGGATGCATAGGCCATGATGCATCGGTCTTGGGAACGATGTCTTTGGGAGACTGCATGCGTGTGCGGGCTATGGAACCGATGTGTACCGCACATTCGCCAGAATCAAATGTTCTGGATTGATCGTGTGGTCTCCCAGCAGCAAACCCTCTAGTCCACTCGCTCTGCTCCTATAGTGAGTGGCTGTATTCTGAGCCAAAGACCTAAAGAAAGAAAAATTTAATGAACAAAGCAAAGAGGAGCGGCATCCTTGGGCGTGATCGTCTCTGTGACTGCTCTTGTCTCTGTGCTCACCACTCTTTGCCATGAATTTTGCT